TCTTAACTGGCTGGTCTCATTTCATCCCTCGCGGAATTCTCCGGCAGTAATCATCCCAATGCTTCCATCCTTTCCTCTGGAGCGGAAACCATCCATGTTTCCCAGTTAAGGTCCCTGTTCCAGTAGACATCTTATGTTGTTAAGAACAATGAAAATAGGGGCACCTGGCTGGCTCAGTTTGTTAAGAAGCTGCCTTCAGCTGGGTCATGATCCCAGGATCCTGGGATCAAACCCCACATTGGGCTTCTTGCTCAGCAGGGAGCCAGCTTCTCCCCTACCTGCCACTCCCCCCTGCTTGTGCTTGCTCTCCCTTCTCTTTCTCTGTGCGAAATAAAATCTTACCCAAAAAAAAAAAAAAAAAAATCTATGAAAATAGTTTTCCAGAAAAAGACAAGGGGCCACAGAAGCATTGTCCCTTTCCCCCGTCCACCCACACCCTGGGTTGGGCCCCGTGGCCAAAGCATAATAGGCACGGTCTCTTGCCTGGGCAGACATGTTGTAAGTGGGAACTGGGTGAACTCACAGTATCGCTTCTGTGTGAATGTTCTTTTGGACCCTTAAGGTACTAGAAGGAGACAAGTTTTAAGTTATTGTACATAAACCACCTTTGCCCTTGCCCTACATTATCTGTTCTGGCAAGTCATAGGTACGAACCAGTCAGTTCATTTCTTAACATCTTCTAGGAGCTACCTTATACCCCGTTGCTAGGGGAGAAGACTGGGCCCCTGTCCTGGTGGAGCTCGTGCAGTTGGGTCTGATCTCTCAGTATCCTGAAAACAGCCTGCTCTGTTTGCTCCTTGAAGGTAGCCCAGCTCTCTGACTCTTACCTGCCCCTTCCCCAGGCTTTGGAGGAGAAGGTACGGACCACAGAGACACAGGTGCTTGTGGCATCTGCACAGAAGAAGCTGCTGGAGGAGAGACTGAGGCTCGTCTCAGAGCTCTGGGATGCTGGGATCAAGGTAGAGGAGGCCAGCCCCAGGGTGGCAGCAAACTTGGGAGTGCTGGGAACAGACTAAATAAAAGCTCATCCATGGCAACTTCGGGTAGGAGAGCTAAAAGCACTTGGGCTCCAAGGAGGTTGTCCCTGAGGACAGTAGAAACCAGCCTTTAAAAAAAAAAAAAAAAGAAAGAAACCAGCCTTCGTCTTCCACCCTTGTCCCCTGCAGGCAGAGCTGCTCTACAAGAAGAACCCAAAGCTGCTGAACCAGTTGCAATACTGTGAGGAGGCAGGCATCCCACTGGTGGCCATCATCGGTGAGCAGGAGCTCAAGGACGGGGTCATCAAGCTCCGCTCAGTGGCCAGCAGGGAAGAGGTACGTAAGTAGGCAGGAAAGCTGAGGGATGGGGAATGTATGGCATTTTGGCAGTCCATCCCCATTCAAGACCTGAGTAAAAGCCTGGCACTCATGTTAGTACCCTCTCAGAAAAGACAAAAGGGTTAACCTGTTACTGTGGTCATGGTAGGGAGTCCCATCTCCATCTATACCCAGTGTCTCTGGCTTCTCCAAGAAGCACTATCTACTTTTTGCCTGCATTCCAGCTCCCAGCTGAGCCAAGCCTGATGACCAGAGGAAGGAGTGGGTACTTAGGAGCAGTGGAGTCAAAGATATTCATACCACCTTCTCTCCCCATCCTGGCCAGGTGGATGTCCGAAGAGAAGACCTTGTGGAAGAAATCAAAAGGAGAACAAGCCAGCCCTTTTGCATCTGCTGAGTTGAGCAAACTATCAGCAAACTGGGACTGGCACTATTTGAGGCTAAGACGAGACTCTGCATATATACTTAACAGCTTTGCACACTTCTGTTCTAGCAGGAAGACCTGAACAGTGGTCAGAACAGAGACTTTTTATTATGATTATTTTATTGGTAATCACGGACAAAAGTGGCCAGGTATTACACCATTTTTCCATAGGAGGTCCTGGGGGCTTAGTCCAGTCTGTGCTCTGGGGACCGAGCCTAAGAATGGTCGCCCCTGCACGACCCTAACCAGATGGAGGGAATGCTCCCCCCCAAACAATACTTAAAGGTCCAATAAAATGACTCAACCACTGGAGCCTGACTGTGTCACTGTTACCTGGTCCTGCCTTCGCTGTGGGAGCCTGTGCCTCCCATTCCAACGACTAGAGCAGTGGGAAAGTGGGGAGAAAGACTTTACGCAGCACTGGCACTGCCCCAGGGTGAAGGGTGCCGCTGAGGTTCCCGCATCCAGCGCACTTCCGCGCCCTAGGAGGTGGGGTTGTCGGCACACTCACGGGTTAAGGTTCCAGCTTTCACCTGAGGGTCCGAGCTTCCCGCGGCGCACGTGCAATGGATGCCCCCACCCCCTTGGGGGGCGGGGTCGTGTTCAGAGCCAATGAGAGCTTGGGGGGCGGAGGAGTAGGGAAGCTTCCAGAGGCAGATGCAGAGAAGATTATAAAGGAGGTACCGACGGGCCGGCGGAGAGAGCCATGCAGTCCAAGCGGGAGTGTGAGGTAAGTGATGGCACGAGAGGTTCGACAAGTGCCACCTGCGCAAGAAGTGGCCCATTGGGCTCCACTCCACGGGCGAGGTGGGGGCGGGCACGGTGATCCGCCATTCCAACCTGCCCTTTCGCCTTCAGCTGTGGTGTGAGAGGGTGAATCCAGAGAACAAGGCCGCGTTGGAGGCGTGGGTCAGGGAGACCGGCATCCGCCTGGTGCAGGTGAACGGGCAGAGGAAGTATGGCGGGCCACCCCCAGGTACGGTAGTCTCAGCCCTACGCCTGCAGCGCTCCCCCAGCCTCGACAGTACCGACCGGCACCCTCTGGGCGGGGGAGGGATATCCCGGTGCTCAGCAGGCAGAAACCTCTGTCCGTTGCACCCCCTCCAGTCAAGCAGCTGAGGAAACTTAGGCTCTCCACCCACCCACCCACCTTGCCTCCCTCGAGGCAGGGAAGCCAGCCTTTCTGTTAGCTTAGGCACCCAGTTATGCCAACGACTTGGCGGGGGGGGCGAGTGCTGCGTCCATTTCACGGACGTTTGCTCATAGGCCCTCTCGGGCTGGATGCCGGGGCCCGAACTCGGAACCATCCTGGAGGATGACGGTGCCCCTTCTCGCCCCTTCCCCCAGGCTGGGTGGGCAGCCCGCCGCCGGCCGGGTCCGAAGTGTTTATCGGACGGCTGCCTCAGGACGTGTACGAGCACCAGCTGATCCCACTGTTCCAGCGCGTGGGCCGCCTCTACGAGTTCCGCCTGATGATGACCTTCAGCGGCCTGAACCGCGGCTTCGCCTACGCGCGCTACAGTTCGCGGCGCGGCGCGCAGGCAGCCATCGCCACGCTGCACAACCACCCGCTGCGGCCGTCCTGCCCGCTGCTCGTGTGCCGCAGCACGGAGAAGTGCGAGCTGAGTGTGGACGGGCTGCCTCCAGGTCTGAGCCGCCGCGCGCTGCTGCTCGCGCTGCAGCCCCTGGGTTCCGGCCTGCAGGAGGCGCTGCTAATGCCCAGCCCCGGGCCGGCGCCCGCGCAAATTGCGCTGCTCAAGTTCAACTCGCACCGCGCGGCCGCCATGGCCAAAAAAGCCCTGGTGGAAGGTAGGGGGGCGGGGTGGGGGGGGGGCAAGGCTGCGGGGGGCTGCTGAAGGGGGCCAGACACATTTTGCCATGCACTTGACACATCAGTATAGAGGTATAGAGGGTGAAGCAAGATTGTAGGGTTAAGAATGCCTGAGTTTTCGACGTCATACTATATATGACCTGAGATTTTTAATTTCCGCCGGTGTACCAAGTACCACCTACTTGAACTCCTCCCTTGCATTGTGTCCAACATTCCAATGAAACACAGGATGATCTCCCTCTTTAGATATGAAGAGAGGGTTTAAGAGAAATTGATTTGCCCTAGGCAGTCCTGCTGAGTCGGCCTTTTATCTACTATAGAACTTCCTACCGCTGGGTGTGGTGACAATTAGATGGCACTTAGCACATTCCCTGAGTCCTGGTAAGCCTTCACAATAAAGGTTAGCTATTATGATGGTTATGAGGTAGACAAAGCCTGCATCCACCAGCACACCAATAAGGAAACTTAGAAGATAGCAGCTACTACACCCCCTTTTCAAAGAAACACAATGAAGCCACCAGGAAATGGGAAGGCTAGATATTAAACAGGCCTCCCTGTGAACCCTCTGACTCCAAAGGGTTCACAGGGCCTGGGAACTTGGATCCAGGGCTTAGGCCTCCCCTTGTCTCTGCCTTTTTCCTGCAGGGCAGTCCCGCCTCTGTGGAGAGCAAGTGGCTGTGGAGTGGCTTAAGCCAGACCTGAAGCAGCGACTCCGCCAGCAGCTCCTGGGTCCCTCCCTGCAGTGCCTACAGCCAGAGGGCAGTCGACTGGCCCCAGCCAGGGACAAGCTAGAGTCCCACCGGGCTCGGGCTGCCTTGCAGCTGTTGTGCCAAAGGATGAAGCTGGGCAGCCCTGTGTTCCTCACCAAGTGTCTGGGCACAGGCCCTGCCGGCTGGCACCGCTTCTGGTACCAGGTGGTGATCCCTGGGCACCCAGTGCCTTTCAGCGGCCTCATCTGGGTGGTGCTGGCCCCAGATGGGCAGGATGGGCACGAGGTAGCTAAAGATGCAGTGTCTGCCAGGCTGCTAGAGGCACTGAGTGAGTCCAGAGCCAGCTTTCTCCGGTCTGCCGGGGCTGAGGCAGGTACCATGGTTAAGCAGTGACCCTGTCCTCTTCACAGGCAGTCTGCACGAGTTAGCAGAGCCTGTGTCAGTCTCCAGCCCAGCAGGTCTGGGCAGCCACCATCTGTCCTCAAAGAGGAGGAGCGTGGGCCCTGCCCTACCTCTGACAGCCTCCCAGCTGGGGCAGGGCCCCAGTACACCGGGAAAGCTCAGGGTTGGCTAAGTTGTGGTGAGGGACCTTGTTCTCCCCCTCCCAGCCCAGGGTCTGACCTGCCTCATGGTATTCCTTGGCCATTCAGTGTGATAGACACACAAACAACCCTTCTTCTCCCACAGCTTAGTATGAATCTCATCTCTTAGTCTCTTGATTTGTCATCTTTGTTGATTTTATTTGGAGGCTGGCTGAGCCAGAGGGTCAGAAAATCTGCCTTTTGTCCCTACTACTTGACATTCTGGTTACAGTGTATGTGATTTTGGGTTTTTCTATGCTGTTGTATTTATATTAAACCCCTGGTTGGTGTACACCTGTGTCCGTGCTATCTTGCCCCAGCTCTGGGCTTGTCTTACACCGGCAGAGTGAGCAGCTGCCACAGAACAAGGACTTTCTCCCACCAGTGCCCTCAGTCCTGAGCCTCTGGCTATACAGCTTTGTGTACTGCACAAGAGTAGTAAAAGTTCATAGCATCTCTGCGTACGCAGCCCAGGGAGCAACACTTGCTCAGTGAGGACCTATCCGCCTCAATCACTATCATTCTCACTCTCTTTCTCTTCCTTCTGAGCTGTGGAGTCTTCTTCCTCTTCCCTCAGGCCTGCAAAGAAGTCATCTGTGCTCCAAGCCTTGCTGCTCAGACCCCGCAGTGGCCCTCCCTTTTTCTTGCGCCGGCGGTAGTCATCGACTACCACAGTCCGCAGCTGGGCCATGTTCCAGAACTTGAGGCGCTGGTCGTGACCACTGCTGGCCAGGAAGTGGCCACAGTGGGAGAGGGCCAGCTTCTCCACAGGCTCCCCAGCATGCTGCCCCACGCTGCCCACCACGCGATTTGGCAGGATATTGACAGCCCTGGGCAGAGAAAAGAGAGTGTTTGGTCTTGGCTGGTGGGCTCTGCCCCTGGTGTAATCTCAGGGCTGTCCTGGCCTCTCTCACCTGATAACTCCATCAGTGGAACCAGTGCACAGCAGGCTCTCAGTGACTGGAACCATGCAGTCAACAGACTCTGCTCTTAGGGCAAACCGATCACTTGTGGCCCCAAAGCCATTCCAGTTGAAGAGGTAGATGGTGCCTTCACTGGAGCCACAGGCCACCTTCTTCCCATACTGCAGGAAATAAAGGAAACCGTATTTGTGAAGGCCCATCTGAACAGAACCCTATCATATTCCCAAACCCCCATACCCAGATGTACTTTCATGACAGTGACAGAAGTCAGGTCTCCAGACTGAGGCTCTGAGAGTAGTTCAAACCGGCGTCGCCTGATGTTGAAGACACCCAGGCAGCCATCCCCACTGTAGAGAAAGCAGAGCAGCAGGCTTAGCCAAAGCTCCCATCAAAGGAGAGAGCTTTAAGAGGGAAGGGAAAGGGCGGCAGCTTTGAGGCTATACCTGGCTGTAAGCAGCAGCTTCTTGGCTGGGTCCAGAGCTATGTCAGCAATATACTCCTCATGCTGCCGCATATCCATTAAGGGGCCCTCCTTCCGCTGGTCCCAGAGCCGGATGCCACCTGTGTCATCCCCAGTGGCCAGGACATTCTCATCTACCAGAAGCAGGCTGTTGATGGGGGCACTAGAGATACAGAGCTTCTTGAAGCATCTCTGTCCCAGGAGGAACCTACCACATTACCCTTGATCTCAACACACAATTTAGCTGCCCTTACCCATGAGCCTTAGAAATGCGTCTTTCCAGTCGGCCCTGCTCCACATCTAGAACGTGGATGGCTTTGTCCTTGGAGACAGTGACAAGTTCTGGGGGCGGGGGGAGAGGTACTCAGGTCATGGTGCTGCGCCCTGCTCCCTTGCCAAAAGATTGCTGGCTGGCTGCCGTGCCTGGTACTCACTCTGTCCATCTTCAGAGAAGACCACAGCTCGGCAGGATTTGAGGTGGTGACCTGAAGACCAGAGCTCCTTTGTTTCTCCCTCTTGGCAAGAGTAGGAAAACCTAGGGGGAGGAGGAGAATCAATGACTCCAAAACCTGCCAGCATGGAATATAAAGACCAACCAGTCAACCTTCAGCCTATCTAGGAACTGCTGTTTATACACCATCAAACCCAAGGGGCTTAACATCCCATTTTTCCATTTTCAAATGTTAAGTCTTTTATTCAACATGTATTAATTCAAAGTACATCTGCTCAGGACTTCTTTGTGAACTGACCCATCATCCTTAAAAGCCCCAGCTTGGGGAAATACTAGATCTGGACTACAATGGGGGGACATGAAATACGTGCTAAAGGCAGAAGAACAGGGGTGCCTGGGTGGCTCAGTTGCTTAAGCGTCTGCCTTTGGCTCAGGTCATCCCAGAGTCCCGGGACTGAGCCTTCATCAGGCTTCCTGCTCAGCAGGCAGTCTACTTCTCCCTCTCCCTTACCCTCTGCCCCTCCCCGGAGCTTGTGCTCTCAGTCTCTCCCTCTCAAGCAAAAATCTTGAGGGGAAAAAAAAGAGAGATGGCGCCTGGGTGGCTCTGCCTTGGGCTCTGGTCATGGTCTCAGAGTCCTGGGATGGAGCCCTGCCATAGGGCTCTCTGCTCAGCAGGGAGCCTGCTTTCCCCTCTCTCTCTCTGCCTGCCTCTCTGCCTACTTGTGATCTCTCTCTCTGTGTCAAATAAATAAATCTTAAAAAAAAAAAAAGAAAAAGAAAAAGAAAAAAAAGGAACAGCTCCAGGAGTTTGAAATGTAAAAATTGACAAGACAGGGCTCTTGTACTCCAGGTCTATATGAGCTAAAGAAAGTTAAAAATAATTACAGAATATAGTGGCCACAGGCTGAAAAGGAGGTAGGATCAAAATGGAGGTGGAACAGAGAAGGGCCAGCCTGGAAGCTCAGCTTTGAGCCAAGTACTTGTCCAGAGTGTATCACCAGTGGCTACCTCAAGGCAGATCCTCAAAAACGGCCGGATGACAAAGTATTTAATTGCCAGGGAGTTTCAGGCAAGCAGAACAGGGTCTGCTTATTTGCTCTTTCCCAGTGCCTAGCAGGAGAAAAGAGCCCCCGAAAGCTAAGGTCAAGATGTGAGTTGGGTCATGAAGAGTTAAACAGTTCACCTGGCAGATACTGGAGGCAGATATGAATGTCCCTTCTAGGGCAAGGACAAGGAATGAGGAGGGTTCCAGTGGCAGGAGAGTGAAATGGCTGAATCTAGAAAGAGGGGCTGGACTGGAGATCATATAGACCAAGCAGAAGGATGAATTTAATCCTTTGGGGAAAGGAACCTCTTTGAAATGATCGTGGGAGAAGTCAGAAGCCTGCCAAAAGGCAGTGGCTGAAGGTAGGAAAGAGGAAACAAACTGAAGCAATGGCGATGTGAATCAAGGGGGAGGTACAGAGTGACTCCCAAGTGTACAGCATGAAGTAGATAAGTAGGGGTAGTAGTAGAAAGGAACCCACCTTTGTTGAACTCAGTAAACACCTGAATGCTCTGCAAGGTAGGTCCAGGCATACCTCCTCTTACGGCACTTCACAGACACTGCATTTTTTTATACTGAAGGTCTATGGCAACCCTGTATGGAACCAGTCTATCAGTGCCAGTTTTCCAACACCATCTGCTTGCTTCATGTGTCTCTCACATTTGGGGAATTCTAACAATATTTCAAACCTTTTCATTGTATTCGTTATAGTGATCTGTGACCAGTGACTATGACTCACTCATGACAGTTAGCATTTTTTAGCAACAAAATATCTTTTAATTAAGGCATGTATACTGTTTTTTGGACATAATGCTAATACACATTTAATAGACTTAAGTATAGTGTATACTTATGTGAACTGGGAAACCAAAAAAATTTGGTGACTGGCTTTATTTAAACGGTCCAGAGCCAAACCTGCAATGTCTCAGAGGTATGCCTGTATTATTCCATTTTTGAAGATGAAAATATGGAAGTTAACTTGCCCAAGGTGACTGAAGCTAATAGAGAGGTTAAGGTTTAATGTCCTTAAGTACATCTGACAGCACAACTCTTCTGGTTAAAACCTTCAATGACTCTTCACTGCTTCCAGCCTACTCGTCTTGTTCAAAATCAAATACATATTGAGCACCTACCGTGGTCTAGAAGGGGAGATAAAAAGGACAACAAAACAGACTACAGATTACATAAAAATGTTTTTCAAACTCCAGTCATGATCCATTAGTGAACTGTGATCAGCATTTTATGTCTGTGTGCCTGCAATAACAATGTAATAAACCGGAAAATATCAGGGTGCATCACACATAATTATATGTGGTGTGGGGTGAGGTCAAAAAAGTTTGAAAAACATTTTTATTTTTAGTGAAGGAGCAAACATTCAAATAATTACACAAACGGATTTAAGATTACAAACCATTACGAAGTTTCTGAGGGCAAGTTATCTGGTGCTAACACAGCAGTGTCTAATGAGTAATTTAATTTAGCCTGGGGAAGGGGAGGACAAATGTAGAGATGCTGAGAACTCAGGGATAGTGGGGAAAGTTTTCCAGGCAGAAAGAAGAAGCCGCACAAGAGCTGAGGATTTAAGATACATTGAAAAGGTAAGAATGAATGAGCACAGAAAGTAAGGGGAAAGTGAGCGAGAACCAGATGGCCAAGATCCTAAAAGCCAGGTTAAGGAGTTTTGACTTAACCCTAAAAACCAAGGTAAACTACTGAGGGGTCTTAAGAAAGAGAGGTCGTTAGATCTGTGTTTGAAAGATCAATTAAAGCAGGCAAGAGGCAAAGTGGAGGGGGCCCATTCAACCCATTTCAGGCTCAGTATAATAATCCAATGAAAAATAAGTGTCCTGAATGCCTTCTCGTCCTGCTACCGTCTCTGGGCTTCGTCAGGGCATTCCAGCCACTGTGTCTTCCTTTCAGTTGTCTCAAGAGATTTGTGTGGTAACTGGTTCAAAACCAAGTGTTACTGAACGAATTGATCAGATGGGTCTTGCAAAATTTGTCTCCCGCACCTTTCTCTCCTCATCCCACTTCATCCCTGGGAGCTTCCAGATCCCGCAGCCCCGAGCCCTGCCCAGCACTTACACGAACACGTCCCCGTCCACGTCCCCCGCCGCCAGGAGGTCGCGGGCCGGATGGAACGCCAGCCCGCTGGCCGGTGCTTCCAGCACTATGTCTTCCGGGGTGTCTCGGATGCGGACCGGGGCTTCCGTTGAGTCGGGGTCCTCCTCGTCGCTCCCATCGTCCGCGGGCCTCTCCTCACACGCGCGGTCCATGCACGAAGGAAAGCGAGCTGCTCAACAGTTGAGTAGCGAACCCAAAACCCTCCCCCTGACCTAGAGGAGTGGCCCAGATTCCACTTCCGCCTTGGGGGCGGATCCGGAAGTGGCGCTGAGACGAGAAAGGGCGGGGTGGGCCGCAGCTGTGGTTCCCAGAAACCCAGCCCTCAAGGTGAGCGCCTGGTCCACGTTAGCGCGGCCCTTTTCTGGGCCAGGTAGATGGCGTGACTGTCAGTGCTATCCTTGGTCACGTCTCGCGAAGTTAGGTACTGTTGAAGTCCTTTCCCCTCATCCTGATGGATGCTGACAGTTGGGGACTCCCTCCCGCAACTAGTAAGGATGATTTACTGCCCTCAGGATGGAGAGGGGGACGCCGGTCTTTCATGGCTTTGTGGCACCCAAGAGCAATCTCCACGTTAGCCCGTAAGTCCCAAAAGCCCCACACCACGAGAATTTGGCATGTGGAGGTCATGGACAGCACTCAGGCCAAGCACACGCTTAAACTGTGGCGGGTCTATGCTCAACATCTTTGGGGCCAAAGAACAGCACCTTGCCAGTTCCTACAGTTTGGCGGCATACCCTCAGTAGGCCAGGCCAGCAGTGCTCAGAGCTGGAAAGGAGTTGCTTAAAAGGAAAATGGGGACAACAGTCGACGTTCTTAACATTTTGGTTATCGCAGGTTTCATAAAAATGGGAACACTCTGGTGGGGCAAATAAGGAGCACAAACCCCTGGTACTGAAGAGAAGCTTCTACATCACTGTGCTACTAAGCCTTCTAAGACATATTATATGCTGATGTCCAACCCCTTCACGGAGAGGTGAAAGTGAGGTGAGGGACCTCAGAGAAGCTCTATGTCCTATGTGAATGGAAAAGTTGCCACGTGGTGTGGGGGGCCCTTGTCACCCACCATGTCGCCAACCAGAGGACTTTGGGCATGTCCACAAGGCTTGGTAATATCTGCAGAAACAGATTTTATTTTTAAGTAAGCCCAACAGCCAGCGTGAGGCTTGAACACCAAAAGCTGCATGTTCTGCTAACTGAGCTAGCCAGCCAGGCTCCCCTGCAGAAATGGATTTTTTAAATGGACAGTCAACCCCCAGGGTTTTTTGCTTTTGTTGTTTAAGTAAGCTCTTTGCCCAGTGTGCGGCTTGAACTCAGGACCGTGACATCAAGAGACATGTTAAGTAAGCTCTTTGCCCAGTGTGCGGCTTGAACTCAGGACCGTGACATCAAGAGACATGTTCTACAAACTGAGCCAGCCATACACCCCAAACCCCAGGTCTTAAATTTAATGACCCTCCAGCTATCTTCATCGAAGCCAGGTCTCTGTGACCCTTTTCTTAACTGGGACCAAGGCCTACAACCATGAAGCCAGTGTGTCCTTTACTGTCTGATATTAGGCATTCTAGGTGCTATTGCAGTTAAAGCCCAATTTCAACCTCCTAGGTGCCATGCACAAAGCTGTTTTCCTCACATGCTCTTGCCCTATCAAGCTGAACGTGACCAAAGGCAAGGCAAAGGTTAAGGTGGCCTTCTAGCTTTCCATGTATGTGCTCATCCCACAGGTCTTAAGCTCAAGACAGGCAGTGGCAGCTAGTGATCCAGCCAGGAAAAAAGGGATGACTCTTAGGAGCACCAGACCAAAGTGCTGGCAATGAGCAGAGAGGAGGAAAAGGTTGGAGGTGAAATGATGAAATGATTCAGAGGCCAAGGAATCCACCTTAGGCCTTGGCAAAATTTCAGGGTATTAAAGGGCACCAAACCCTGCTGGCTTACCATAGGACTCCCCCAAGGCTATCCCTTCAGCCAAAGAAACAGCAATTTGTGCTTAGAATTAACTAAGCTCTCAGGAGGGCATAAATCCATTTTTGTTTCCCAAGTAATTCTCATCAGCTGCCTTCACTTACAGCCTAGTCCTGCACAACCTTGGGATCAGACTGGCAGCCCAGGGACTCTCTATGCTAAATGTAGACCCCCAAATGGGCCTGAATGAGTCTGACATTTGAGACCAATCATGCTTATGTTCCTCTATCTACCTCTTGCCCATCAGGGAGGTCATTATTTCCTTCTCCACTAGGTGTCCTTGCTAGGATCCTTACTGCCTAGGAATCTAAAATCACAGCTCAAGGAAAGCTAACTTTCTGCATGAGCATGTTACGCAATCAGTGGAATTAGAAGCCCTCTTAGTGCTTCAGGGGCCCAGGAGGGAGGATGCTCCAACAGAGAAGACATGATCGTAGGTTAGCCAGATTTAATGGAACTAAATGATTATACAATAACATTTTATATACATTGACAAAAAGAGACCTTACAACTTTTTTGGGAATTAAAGAAAGCAAGCACTGGTGAATCCATTCTTGTGGGGAATCTTTTTGGACTTGGAAATGGAGATTAGTATTTTGGTCTTTTCACTTCAACTCTGCAATGAAAGGAAAAGTCAGTCAGCCTAAGATCAGTACTCTAAGCAATTCCCACAGTGCCCCAGAAGAAGAATGCTGGTGCTCACCCATCAGCCTCCATCTTCTTCCTCTTTTCAATAATCTACAAAAAAGAACAGTTACACCCAATAGTTACGCTGTCAGTCTGATCACCTGAGGCACAAGGCAGACTTCTCTACTTCCATGGCTCTCTACCCCCTGCCTATTCCTTTTATCTGTGGGCCAGTGTCTCCTCCCAGCCGAAGTTCACCCAAGAAGTGATCTCACTTACTGCACTAATCTTCTTCCACTGGCGATCAAGCTCTGCCTTATCATTGGTTTCCTTGAAGCGCCTAGTTTTCCGCCCTTCAGACATCTTGATGCCATACTGGAATGCAGCTCTGAGAAAAATAAAGGACAAATGAGGGAAAAAAGGCACCAGGGGTTGCCTAACAGGAGAGAGGTGTTCCCAGATGGCCCTGTGACTAAAGAACCTATTTAGGAATGTCTCAGCCAGACTACACCCTCAAACCTGGTGAAGGCTAGCCCACTCCATCATCATCCCTCTCCTCACTCCCTGGCCATATTTAGTACCGACTCACTTGGGCAAAGCCTCCTTGTTGTTCATATACTCGCTGTATTCCTCCTGGGTATCAAAGTCCCAGCGGCCTAAGGGTCCTTTCTTATTGCCCTGTTGGAAGACAGAATGGGGACAGGGAAGGAAGAGATGTCATGGAAACAGAATTTTAGCCCTTACTAAAGCCAGGTTCTCTCACAATCCTGTTGCATTATTTGTAAATCCCACCCTCATAAATAATAATAAATGCTTACTATCTACTTACTGTGTACTGGGCATTGTTCTGAACACTAAACACATATTTAATTCTCTCAAATGCTATTAAAAGAGAACCACAGTCCTCTCCATTCTCCTGATGAGTAAACTGGGGCATAAGCAGTAAAATTAATTGGCAAGGCCATAAAACTAAATAAATGGCAGAACCAGGGTTAAGTAAGTCTCCAAGATGGAAATAAACCAGGCTCAACCACTGCAGTAAAGAGAAACAAGGAAAAAGTAGATGAAATTTCTTTACCATTAATGGTGTTATGTGTCAGGGTTTGAGGTTTGTTTTTTTTTTTACGTAGGCTTCACATCCAGCATGGAGCCCAACACAGGGCTTGAACTCAAAACACTGAGATCGAGATCTGAGCTAAAATTAAGAGTCTTTTCACCTGACTGAGCCACCCAAATGCCCCAAGAGTATTTTTTTTTTTTAAGATTTTTTAAAATTATTTATTTATTTGACAGATAGAGATCACAAGCAGGCAGAGAGGCAGGCAGAGAGAGAGGAAGGGAAGCAGGCTCCCCGCTGAGCAGAGAGCCCGATGCGGGCCTCGATCCCAGGACCCTGGGATCATGACCTGAACCAAAGGCAGAGGCTTTGACCCACTGAGCCACCCAGGCGCCCAGTATGTTTGTTTTTAAGACTAGCAAAGAACATTTCAATCCTGGCTAGAATAAAATTCGATTATTTTCTAAACAGAAATTCCTTCTACCCTTTCTATTTATGCACTAAAGGCTTGCTTACTGCCTACAATGGAAATCAAAACCTGACACTTTGTCAGAAATAAGAAAAAAAAATCTATTTTGGGGTGCATGGGTGGCTCAGTTGGTTAGGCAACTGCCTTCGGCTCAAGTCCCGCAACAGGCTCCCAGCTTGGCAGAGAGTGCTTCTCCCTCTGACCTTCTCCCCTCTCATGCTCTCTCTCACATAAACAAATAAAATCTTTTGAAAAACATCTATTTTTGGCCTATCTCATTTTGTTTTGTACAGACACTTCAAAAGTTAAGCTTCTCATGACCCCACAATGCTGCTGCTCTTACTGCTACAGTTGAAGGAAGGTGAAGGCCCAGAAAATGAGACACCGATCTGCTGGGAGGGGGGAAGGAGGCATGTGCCGAAGAGTAACTGCCTAAGACTCCCCACCCATCCTTCCAATGACATACCTGGTCCATTTTGCTGTAATCCACCTCCTCATCACTATCCACAGCCATATCATCCATCCTGAAAAGAAGCAACAGTTAGACAGATGGTGCAGACCCAGACCCTGATGCTTTAGCCAGAAACCTTCCCAACTAAGATGCTATATGCCTAAAAATGACCAACGCCCCAACCCGAGACCTCCCACTCAGTGCCTAAAAGAAAAGTTCATCCAAGTAAAAAGTACCCCTTGGTCCCAGGTAATCAGATTTCCACTTCAGCCTCCTCCCCACAACTTGTTCTCCAATCATCCCAGCCTCCCTTAACAGTCTCACGTACGTGGCTGGGTAACACTCGGCATAGCTGTTGGACATTCCAAAGAAGTCTCCCAGCTGCTTTTTGTCCTCTGGCTTCTTCAGCATATGCTATGTTAAAGAAAATAATTCTAGGGGCATCTGGGTAGCTCAGTGAGTTAAGCCTCTGCCTTCGGCTCAGGTCATGATCTCAGGGTCCTGGGATCAAGCCGGGCATCGGGCTCTCTGCTCAGCAGGGAACCCTGCTTCCCCCAATCTCTCTGGGGCTCAATGCCCCAACATGAAAACTTTTAAGGACGTGAGTGGATCCTCTGAGAAATGGGAAAGTCGAAATGATTGCATCCCTGACAAAATTTACTA